TAGAGCGTATATTCTTATATTCATTGAAAGGTTTATGCTAGCAGATCACTCTAGCAGCAAGGCCATATAATTTTTCACCTAAATTTTATAGATATTTCATCTCGACAATGTGGCATACGGTTCATCGCAATCACCAAAAATCTTTACTATACCTTTTTGTATTGCCTTCTATGCTTTCTTGTAAGAAATTTGATAGCCAAATTAACCATTAATTCTTTCTTGAATTAATGTGATTGGCACTGATGGTTGTTCTTTGACCATACCTATAAATAACAATATAATTATGTATAATGTTCTTTAATAATATATAGAACCATTAAACGTATTATGATAAATTAGTGCAACTTACCTAGCACGCAACTGCAAATGAAGTTTGAATCCAATTTTTGGCGGTCAAGAGACATCATTGCATGAACACATGTATGTGGTCTACTACACCTTGTGATTTTTCACTTGTTAAAATTTTGGCCCAAATTTGCTCTAACCCTCCAAAGACATCTTGTAGTATGATTTGGGCATTTCACATGAAATTTTGTTAGTTTTAATTCAACCACAATATAACTTTGATGTGCTTTCAATGCAAAGCTTTTAATAGCTATTTTAACATCTTCTTTAGACTCAAATATTTGGCCAACAAATAATGCATTACCCTCCCTCCATGCTTGATCACGATCAACATCTATATTTTTCATTTCTTTATCAGCGTGTTCTTAGTTAATATAGATATAATGTGGACTTGAATTCCAAAAAGGAGTTTCAACCAAGCCTGTATATTACAACACAGTCGATTTATTTTATATTATTATTGAAATGTATTTTATAACAGATTAATGTACTTAATACTTTTGACTCCTACATTATCAGTTATATTCAAGCTACAATGAATTGCACCCTCCAAATTAGAATCAGATGAACTTTCTTTAGGATTCCCCCATTCAATTTCATTGTCATCATCCTCATTCTCATATTCACATTCTGCACAACCATGACATTCATTGTTAGGTAACATACTTACAATGAAACTGAATATATATTTTCATCAAAGAATATAAAATTACTATACCTGATACAAACAGGGGTTCATCTGCTTCAGATATATTGTCATGTGAACATGATAAATTTAAGTCCACACCTTATGACTGAATACAAGAACTCTCATCAGACGCAATATCTGCATATACTTCAATTGCACTTCCTTGATTTTGTTGAAGAAAAGCACTTAAGATGCAATCAATATCTTCATTATCACATATATCCATCATTGTGTATTATCTAACAATTAGGTATACTAAAAATTGTGAAATCAATCTAGATATAACCTGACTAGTAGACAGTTTCAATTTTGCACGAATCTTTCTTTTCAATATCTCCAAACTTATTCCACGTTTAATCTTAATCATTTTATTATTTCCTTTAAACGTAACACCTTCATTACTTGAAAATATTCGACTGTTCCAATATACAATTATCACACAAACCAGTCATCCTTATCAACAAATTATACTGCTCAATTAGAATATATATATAGTTTTAATTGCTAATAACAAATGACCCCATTCATATTTTAATTATAACTCACACATTTTTCTATATTTTAATAATTGATTATGCTTCATTTTATTATATTAATCATATTTTAAAAATTTCAACACTTCCATATTTATTTGTTACATAATATATAATAACTTATTACTTACTTGTTCATCCCAATATACATAATTTCAACACTTATTCTTCTCAAATTCTATTAAATAAGAAATTAATATTTCTATATTTAATTAACAACTACAACAATAACTACATTTATAATACAATAGACTCTCCATTACAAAATTTACACTTTACATGTTTGTCATAATTCTTTTCCTAATTTTCTTCTATAAATTAATTATAATAAAATATAAAAATACATACCTACCAACAAATCTACATAAATATTATATTAAATATATTTAAATCCTTCAATTATTTTACCAATTTTAAATAATAAATTTTTATAAATTAATTTAAATTTTATACTAAATTTTTACACTATTAATAAAAAAATATTATAAAATTAATAACAAAATTTACTAACCTCAAATATTATTCTGCTCCTCCAACACAAATCGCAATTTCGAAATCCTCATCCACTGTGTATATATATATATATATATATAGCAAGTAAAATTGGACAATAACCATTACACAATAAAAAAAATAAAGAAATATTAAGATTAATCGTGCCACGTATCAAGACAACACTAATATTGTCTCAGTCAAAGTGATAGTCAAAGCGATAGAGCTAACGTACATTGACCATCGACAACACTATCAAACATTATTGGACGATACTTTTGTCTTCTCACCATGTGTCACTAAAATATATATATAAAATAATGGTTATTGTCCCATTTTTTCTATATTAATATTTTCTGCCGTTTTAAATTTTTCTGTCACATACTGAAAGTGTATTGGACTTTAGTGACCAATAAAATATTAAAAAATAATAAAAATAAAGCTATTGTTGGTGCATAACCGATATTGATGATGATTTAACAAAAAAATAGCTTCAGATAAGGAATTAATTTTTAAAAAAATTATTTTGAAAATTAATTTTTAAATATGTATTAATTAAATAAAAAAGGAAATAAAAGAAGTTGTTGAATTTGATGAACGTGGACGTTTATGTGTGTCAAATTAACTGATTACAGAGCATGTGGTCACCAAAGGCTTTCAACCTAAATAAATCGTCCGAATATCTCTCAGCGCGTGAAGCCCGAAACACACTCTTGGTAAACGCATCTTTTAAATTACGAAATACGATAATTTTTAAAAACTTGTTAATGACATTTATTATTAATTTTTTCAAAAATTGCTGTTAACAAATTTTTATTTTTAAATTTTTATGTAAAAAAATTGTCATGGATGAATTAAAAAAAAAAGAAAAGGTTTTCAATAAATTTTGAGACTTTAATTTTTCGTTATTTCATTTGTAAATCTTTAAGGAATTTTTTGACTTTATACGTTTAAAATTTGTTCAAAAATATCATAATTTAGTAAATATTTTTTTAAAAATATTATATATAAAAATAATTTCGTTAATTCACAATAAAATATCATTTTTCATCTAATTTTAATCATTGTGCTGTTTTATATAGTTAAAATGAGCAGTAAAATCATCTTCTGTATTATCATATATCCTGCATTATTTTGCAATTATTTATGATAAATGAAGTTGATAAAAAAATTAAATTTTATTAGAATAAATTAATATGATAATTTAATATGTTGGAAAGAAAATAGTCAAAATTAATTATGACCAAGTGACTTTCTTTTATATATTATACCGGCATTATTACATTAATTATTTTAAGTAAAAGAGTAAAATCATATTACATAGTTATTTTTAAATTTTTTGAATTTTATAAATTAAAAAATATATTTTTTGTGATTTCTAATCAATATTTGATATGTTAAATAAAATTACAATAAAGAAATAAATATTTTAAAACAGGTAACAAGTTATAAAAAAAAATTAAAATTTAAATTGAGATTGAATTCAAACTTACAAAAATTTAAATGTTCAATATTCTTAACTACATGACATAAAAAAGTTAATTTTTTAAATACTCTCATTTAATCTAATTGCTGAAAGTGCTTTTGTATAATTTTTTTTTTTTATAAAAAGGAACTCCAATCTAATATAAAAGGGTAGAAAAACAACTAATTAATATAATAAGAAGTAAAATATATACATATACTACCTTGTTCCTTCCATAATTTTTTATTTTCTTCATTTTAATTTTTTTATCAATAATTACAATTTTAAATTATTAGAGTTGTAAAATTTCTTTTAAATTTTAAAAAATTTCATTGTCAATAAAATTAAATTTTTTATATAAATAATTAAAATAAAAAAATAAATACTAAAAAAAAATAAGATACTAATTTTGCCCCATTAAAATCGATATAAAAGGAAAGCATAGAACCAAATACAAGGGTTCGGTTTAATGCTTTTCGAACCGGGACGGTAATGTGGTTAAATTAACTTAGTCCAAATTAAGTGGTGGTAACCAAAGCTTTCAACCTAAACGAATCGTTTCTAAGAGAGTTATTCACACTATATTCTTTTAACATATTATTAAAAATTAAAGAATAGAATCATTATTTTAAAAAAGGAAAAATACAAAGTTTAAAAATAAATCGTAACAGAATATTGGAAAAGAAGGTGCGTTTGATTATTCATAATAATAACTGTGAATAACATTCAACAGTTGTTTGTTAACGTAATTTGCTTCATGTTTTATTGAGGAAAACGTGTACAATGTTTTTTTAATAGTATTAAATAATAAAACAAACATACGTTGGTTAGAATTTTGATTCCCAGATGTGTTTGAAGCAAAACAAATAACTGAGTTTTGAATTATGTATATCTCTTTAGAACATGAGTGGAGAATTGCGTGGAAAAAACAGAATCCGGGGTGTGGAAGCAACGAAACCTAGTCTCCGTCTGGGATATGTGGCGACACGTTCGCGTGGACGCAGCAAATGGTGGCCGCCACTCCTACTTTCTCGCCCTGTCGTTTCTCTCTATTCACTCCTTTACATGGCAATATCCCAAGTTTTACCAATTGAAGCCTTCTAAAATAAATATTAGATAATTTATAAAATCTAAATTTGAAATGTGCTAATCAAATCAGGATATGCCTTGCCCTGTCATTGTTACCTTGGGTCTAACCTGTCCCGGTCACAACCTCGTCAGCATCCTCTTCAATCCTACGGTTACAAATCCACAACTTACCTACTCTTCACTCCTCAACCGAACACGTGTCCGGTCACCCCTCTTCTCTCTCGGGATTCTTCTGCTCGTGAGCATTCCTTTCTTCTTTTTAAATTTATTTATAGCGCCTTGACGAGTTCTCATAATATCGTGGTTTGTTGAAAATATCGCGGGTCACCTTATCTGTGTTCCTTTTATATGGGGCACCTATATAACGAAGCTCCCTGACCCATCATTTTCTTCAAGTAAAACAAAACAAACCCCTTTTGTTTTTGGTTTCTCTCTCTCTATTCTGTGACCATGGTGTTCCAGAAAACCCTTGCTCAACGGCTCCTTAACATCTCCAAAATTTCATCGCAAACACTCACAAATTGTCGCATTTCTTCGTCATCCGTTATTGGAAGGGTTTATCCCACGGTCACGGAACCTGATAACATTGCTCCTGATCCCGGAGACAATGGCCTCTTACGCAGTTTGCTTCATAAGCGACCCGAGCTCCGGTCGCCCCAGCGCGCCGCAAACCTCGTTGACCAGCTGAGGGCGATGGACTTGACCCGGAATCGGATCCGGTTGGAGGGGTTGACGCCGCCGCCGGAGATGAAGGAGGGCGTGACGGTCGAGGATGCGAGGAAATTGCTGAAGGTGGCACAAGTGGAGTTGGTGAAATCGAAACTGAGGGAGACCGGTAAAAGCTGCATAACGTTTTCGGAGTTTATTCGGATTTGCGCTGAAAATTGTTCGGATCAGGATCAAGCCTTGAGGATTGCCAAGTTGTTGGATAATTCTGCGGCTGTGATTGTTTTAGGAGATGTTGTGTTTCTAAGGCCTGAACAGGTTAATTCCGGTTTCTCTCTCTCTCTCTCTCTCTCTCCTTTTTTTTTCCTGTTTGATGCAATCTGATCCCACGATGTTTTATTTTTAATTTTTATGGTGTGTTTTTTGTGGGGATGTGTTTCAATTTGTGGGTTGTTACAGAGGGGTCATGGTGGAGATCAAATATAGGTTTTTTTTTTTCATCACATGATTCTTCTCATTTCCCATTTATCTGGAGACGACCGAAAACTGATAATCTTTTTTATGATTATTTCTTGTGTTTTTTCGACAGGAAATTGAAACTTTGTTGTTTCGCAAGATGTTAAAAGTGGAAAGGATTCCACGTTTGAGGTGGTAAATTAGGGCTTTAAAGGACTGCAAAAGCCCTTCAGCTTTCATCCATCAATGATTCATTCAATTTTAACATTCCTGTCTGACCCTTAAAAAAATTATCATTCTGGGCTTCACTAATGTGAAATTTAGTTTTTCTTTTCTTTTCTGTTCTTCCAAAGAGAGAAAGAAATTATTGGGAGTCTGGTTCATTTGGGATCTTCTAGAAAGTGCCCTGGCTCTTACTCTGAATTTCTATTCCTGTCACTACCAATTGTCTCTTGGCAAATCATTTTTAAAGTGTCTTTGCATGCCTTAGGGAAAGGTAGTGGCGTGCTTGTCCTTGCTAATTGATTTTTAATGGAGTGCCTTCTCTTTTCTTTAGAAAGCCACTAGAAAAATTTCCCTTGAACGTGAAAGTTGGAGGTTCTAAAACTCAGCCCCCTTTTTTTTATTTGAAAGGTTTAAACTTTATACCATGGTATAAGTGGTTGTTAGGCTTCATTGGTTCATAGGTTTCAGTAATTTTTTGTTCTCCTCTGGTTCTTTTAGTAAGCTTGTGTGATTCCTAGAGGAAAAACCAAATGTGGTTGAAGGCAATTGAATTGTTTTACCCAAACTCTAAAATTTGTGATACAGGTAGCAAAGGTCATCCAGGGTCTGTTCCCCGTACCAGGAGCCAAGGTGCACGAATCAGCAAGAATTGAATTAGAAGAAATGGAGAAAAAGAAAATGGGCATTGACAAGAAAGCTGATTCCTTGGTTAGGCGTGAGCTATGGGGCGGGTTGGGTTTCCTTGTGGTGCAAACAGTGGGGTTCATGAGGCTAACATTTTGGGAGCTAACATGGGATGTAATGGAACCCATATGCTTCTACTTGACCTCTATGTATTTTATGGCTGGCTACACATTCTTCCTCAGGACCTCAAAGGAACCTTCCTTTGAAGGGTTCTACCAAGCCCGTTTCACCTCCAAGCAGAAGCGCCTTATGAAGCTTCACAATTTTGACATTGAAAGGTATAACCAACTCAGAGATGCTTGCTCTCCAACCATGCCTCCAAAGTTTGATTCATCCTTTGCTCTTCCATTTGACAATTCTTCCAAACATCATTGATATGAAATTGGAAGGTGATTTACCTGAAATGAAAATAAACACATGGAAGGAATCCCCTTAGCAACATTCATTTTTATTTGCAGCACATTGCTGCCAACTGAATAGCGAATTTGGGGTTAAAACCCCGCCAACGAAAGCTATATAGGAACATGTCGTTAAGAAAATACTAGTATTTGTACTTGCGGTGTGTTAGAATTAGATGCGGCTTTCTGTAGATTTGATGCAGAGTTTTTTTCCCCAATTTTCCATAATTAAATGTTTCTCATTATTACATTACAATTACATTTTCTGAAATCAGCGTTTCGCCTCTGATCCGGGGTTCCACCAGAAAAACACTTGGCAGGACGACGTTACATGACTTGCTCAGTTTCTGCTCTAATCAACGATTTATCATTTATGTTTTTTCTAAGCTTTCATAATATGACGATTTTCTTTTCTTTTTTGCACCAAATGATTAGGTCAAGGATTGTTATTATTTTATATCAGACACACATTAATTAATAAGGATAACTTTATAAAATAAATTATTTATTCATTTTATGTAATGACATTGAAAAATAATAACTACTAAAATGTTAAAAAATTAAAGGAAGTATATTGAAAATTGTATTATAGTTCTATTTCCAAAGATGTTATTGTTATTACGAACAATAATTTAAAGTAAAGATGTTTTCTCGAAAGAAATCTATCAATTTTCATATATTTTTAATGTATTTTAACATAAATTTTAAAAAAATATTATTTATTACTTTCTTTTAAATCTTCTTATGATACTAGTTAACATGCCTTCGAACCCTTAGTTTCATTATGCAAAACTTTTACCTCATAATTAATTTCCTTAGCATGACATGGTTGTAAAGAAGATGCAATTATAGATGATTCCTCCATCAATCTTGAAACAACTTTTCATATATTTTCCTTTTATGTTTTCGCCCTTTCCCGGTTAAAACGAAGCATGAAATTCAGCAAATATCATGACAAATCTACTATGCACTTTGATATTTTTAGTTAATTTTAATGATATATTTTTTCATATAATTTATTAGAATGATTTTTTAGCTTAAATTGATAATTTTCATAATTAATTAATAAATTAAACTCTTTATACAAAAAAAAATGTATTAAATAAGCACTTAATTAAGTTATTATCCAAACATACCTTTTGAGTTAATAGAATACAACCTTTATTTTTTCTTTGACATTTTAGTAATTTTATTTAATTTACATTTCATTCTTACATTATAAAATTAATGCATTGTTATTGTTTATATATACATATGTTAATAATTAATGTCTGTTTCATAGATGATAATAAATAAGTAAGATGATTAATATAATAATTTTTTAACCTATAAAATATTGCATACAATGAGAATCTATCAAAAATATTTTTTTTGTTGAAAATTATAAAATTCAACACAGTCTAATGCATTGATATTATTAAGTGATAAGTTTTTTTTTTAAGTACTATTTATTGATTTCTTATTATATGCAATATTGCATTATTTAGCAAACATGTTATTATAATAGATAAGTAATACTACTTTCGATTCTATTTATAAAAAATAACTATCAATGTTTTCTCTTTTTGAATATAATCAAATATCTATCTTTTAAATGCATGAATTGTTAAGTTCTTTTTATATATTTATTTATTGTAAGATTTGTAGAATACATTCATTGGTTTAAATATTATAAATATTTTTTAAAATAAAAAAATTTATAATGATATATAATTATCATGAATTATGTATTTGTTTACTATAATAAGATAAAGAGTAGTATAGAAGACATTTTAAAAAATATATGATACCATTTATTTGATTATTGCTCAAAAGAGAAAGCCTTGCATTGGAACTTTATTAAGTGCAAATTTGCTTAAATCACGAATCGTACTGTGTGCAAATTTGCTTGGGTCAACAATAGTCACAAATCGATGCTAGAACTACTTAAATTTAATTTAAGCCTATATAGGCTGACCTAGTGTAGTCAATGGACTTTAACATGCTCACTTAAAAAATATTTAAGCTTGATAAAGGTCAATTTTTTAGAGTTTTTAACTTATAATTGCCAAGTCGATTTAAGGTAACAAAAATTAAAAACTAAACCTTAGATTTTGTCATGCATATTCAGGCTACTTTGGTTGGACTAACTTATTTAGTCACTGTATGCGATAAAGCTTCGTTTGAAGGACAACAGATTAATTGCAACCAATTCTGACCTCTAAGTGATACTTCCCATAAAAGGTTTATTCACTCATACAAATTTCAAATTTAAATTAAAAAAAAATTCACGAGAAATAGTGAAAAATTCATGCCAGCAACAACCGAAAACACCACCTCTAATAAACAGCATCTCCAATCTAATACCGACAGAACACAATTCTAATTAAGTATCATGGAATGGGGCAGAGTGCTAATCATAATTGAGAAAGGCTTTAATTTGTGAAAGAGATGAAAGATGATTACATCACTTACAGTACTTGTAAAAAAGAAAAACTTACAACACACGTCAAAATCCAGTTCCCAACAAAATTTCGAACTTGCTACGTATAGACCTGCATGCCTTTTAATTACAAAAAAGGGTGAAAAATGCACACCATGTCAAAATCGCAGCACTCACCCTACCAAGTTGTGCTTTAATTGGACTTCAATTTTTTACTATTTGCTTCCTTTCCAGTGCCTAAGACAGAAAATGAACCATCAATGTTCTTACCCCGATCACCCACACCCGCAAGGTTTCTTCTTTTCCCGAAATACACTCTCACATAAAAATTGATAAACAGAAACAAAACAGCACCGTTGAGCACAGAATTGAAGACCCAAGCGCCAATCCCGTTACACCCACCTTTGGAAAAATGCAACAAAGGGACCCCAAAATGACACACCAAGTTACATCCCAAGAGCACAATTAGGCAATTAAGCTCGAAACGGAAGCACGCGCCACGCGCCGCGATTGCGTTCCAGAACCTGTAACCGTACATGACGGAGTACACCAAAGTGGTGAACAAAATCGCGAGCACTTGAAACGATTGCGAGAACTCCAACCACAAGAAGGACGTGCATGTGTATATGGAATGGTAAAAGAGCTCAAAGAAAACTAGCTTACGATATCGTATGATTACAAACACGGTTCTCACCATGTGAAGGAAATGCGACAAGTAGAAAACGTACGACCAGAAAAAGACGCGACCAGAGGGACGAGTCCCGAGAGGGAAACATAGGAGCCATTGAAACGGCGTTTTAGAGCGACGCCAGAACCAGCGTGTCTCTTTGATTTCCGCGGTGGAGGAGATCAATATCCCGGTGAATATGGTGACGGAGATAAGGGCCATGGAGAGGCTATGAAGCGCGGGTAATGGTCCAAGCGGAACGGTTTGGCCACGACGAAGAAGCAAGGCGAGTAAAAGGTGGAGAATAACAGAGAGAACGACGTACACGGCGATTGATGTGAAGAGGAAAGACCAAGTAGAGCCCCAGCTTAAAGCGGGGCTCCATCGGAACCCTACAATTGCTGGGTGCTCCGAAAGGTAGAAGTTAAGGGTCTGCATCACCGTCAAGATCTTACCCATGGTGCTGGACGGTGACGTAGACATGCTAGAGATTTTTCTTCTCTTTTACATTACCTTGTTCCGTTTTCTCTCTCTCTTTATTTTTTTTTGTTTTTGTTTTGGGTCGGTGATCGTTGAAGACTCAATGGAGAGAGAGAGAAGGAAGAGGAGAGAGAGGTATTAATAAAATTTGTGGCGTACGTAGTAACCAGCGTAGGCATCGTTATTACGTGGCAAAATGTGATTCACTTGGACAGCGTTTAGCCGTTAGCCACGCCAAAATTAAATAAAGGCTAACTACTCCTTAATTTGTGGCCTTTTATGTATTATTAACGGCATAAGCTGTGAACTACTGTATTGTTTAATTTAAATCTCAACAACTTTTTTATTATTCAGGGGAGGAATCAAGTGAAGCTTCTTTTCAAGTTTTGGTAGAGTTTACTTCTTCTTTCAAATCGTTATCCCAATTCATGCCAAGAATTTCAAACATATTATTTAATAATTTTCCTTACAGTGACTTAATTAATTTTTAAATTTTATTTATAACTTTTATATAATATGTTTATATTTTAAATATTCAATTAGTTGTTGATTACAATTACTTTTATAATTTCAATTTTTATATATTTTAAAACATACACGCTTTGAGTGTACCTGTACCCGTTAATTTTTATAACGAATTAATCAGTGTTGATGTATGGAAAAATGTGAATGTGTTTTAGGAGCCTGTAGCATTCAAGTTATCTGTCAAAGTCACAATTACGTTAAATAGAACAAAAAAAAAAAAAAGTAGTATATAAGACAAAAATAAAAATAAAAATAAAAATAAAATTGAGGATGATGATAATGCACCCCATATTCTGGAAAAAAAAAAGATAAACATGAACTGAAATTATAACAAAACGCACGTTGCATGCATGGTCTTCCAAATATAAAGCGCTTTTGCTATTTATTTGTGGTATTTCTAAAAATTAAAACATTTGAAATTTATTTAAAATTTTGCGTTCATTTAAAATAATTTTACTGAGATTTAATTTTAAATTTATTTAAATTTTAAATATTATGATATATATTAAGTGAAACATATTTTTATGTAATTTTTAAAATTTGATATTTTGTAAACGTAATTATTCATAATTTGAATTTGTTTTTTAAATTTAAAATTTTGATAGACCATATCAATAAAAACGATATATCTTTATTTGAATAACTTATTTTTAAATTTTTTCAGTTTTAATGATTTATATATTCAATTTATAAACATGTAATATAATAAAATATTTATTATTTTATTTAAATGCAGATAAAATCATTTAAATTTAAAAATATTTGTATGATGTAGTCGAATAATTTATTAATTTATACATGTGTAAAATAATATATTTTATGATTAATTTAATGATTTAAAATTTCAGATATAGAACGGATAATTTCAAACACTTTTGTAACATGTGTTTAAATTTTGTACCCTTGCTGAAATATTTACCTTGTTTTTTTATTTCATATTCTCTCAAGATGTAGTTAGGGGCATTTCCTCACATGTTTTGGTTTTATACAGTAGATTGAGTATATTTATAGATCTAGTTTGTTGCATCAATTTAGTCTACCATTGCCTCCGTTTTATTTTGACTTAAGCATTTTATCTTTTATTTTTTAATTAATTTTCAGTACGTATAAAATAAAACTATCTTATTAATTAAATTTAACATATTTTAATTAAGTTGTGTTGTTTTATTTGTTATAAATATATAAAATACTTAAGAATTGAATAATCATACTTAATAAGTTACAGGCTTCTTTCTTAAAGTATGTTAAATAGAACTATATAACTTATTTTCAAGTTTATATTGGTTTTTTACTAAAAAAAAATTATTCAATTATCTTACGATTTATAATATTTTTTAGTTAAAAATTTATTTATAAAGAAAAGCAAATAAACGGATATTCAATTGTTTTTAAGTGAATTTTAATTTTAATTGTTTAATAAGAATGAATTATTTAGAGCAATTTTAGTTGTTTATTTTGGTGGAGAGGCTCAACTAATTATTGACATAATTTAATTATTCCAACGCTAATCTGGCCTGGATGCCTAGATCCACACCACGTTTAGTGTCTATCCATTGGTTGGACTTCAAAGGAAAGTGGCCTATTCACGGATTCTTGACGTTACTGAGGCCAGTTTGATAGATATAATACGATAACAAAAATAATAAAACATAAAAATCAAATAAAAATTAAGAATTTTATTATATTTTATGTATTTATTTTATAGTGTTTATCTAAATATTATTTATTTATTTATATAAAAATAAAATATAATACCTTACTTATATTTGTATTAATTATTAAATAAAATTTTAATGTAAAAAGATAATTTAAATATTTTAAAAATAGATAAATTAAATAGGAACAATGAAGAATAAGAGGACCAAAATTTGTACATAGATTAAAATATAGAAAAAATAATTAAGCCTAAAAGTTATCTAAATAAGTGATGATTAAATAAATAGCATGTTGAAAGAGAAGGAAAAGACGTAGACGAACCTGGAAACTTCCACAAGGTTCTCGGTGATAACTAATTTTAGGGCTTTGCATCGCAGGACTTAACTTTTGCAAACAAAATTCTTCTGCCTTCTCTAACCATTTGTCTTTTTCTCCACCCAATCGTAAGTTTCTCTCTTCAACTGTTATTTCGATATCAATTCGTGTTTATAATTTTCTGCGTTGATATTCTGAAGCGAGATCTGCATATTTTTTTTATTGATTTATTTAATCCTTTTCTTTTTTCCTTTTGTTTTCTCGTTCCGTTGATTGCCATTCTGAATCGCTAGATTTATCCGTCGTTTGTTTGATTGAATTGATATGGATCTTGTAATTCGATGATTTATAATTTCATGTGACTTAGTCAGTGACGATGATGCGATATTATCCATGATGTTTTATTATATTCCCCCCCTTGGTGACATTGTAGGGTTTGGCATTGTAGTTGATTTTGTTTGGTGCATCTGAAGATCTGAGGAGTTTGGGAAATGGTGAGTGGTTTTGGGGAATCAACGACAGCATCTCCTCCGAGCCCATCTTGCTCGGGGAACAGTTCAAACGATGCTGGTGATTTTGAATGCAACATATGCTTTGATTTGGCACAAGACCCAGTGATCACTCTGTGTGGTCATTTGTTCTGTTGGCCATGCCTTTATAGGTGGCTCCATCATCACTCCCATTCTAAAGAGTGCCCTGTTTGCAAGGCCCTTGTGCAGGAGGAGAAATTGGTGCCCCTTTATGGAAGGGGCAAAAATCAGACTGATCCCAGGACCAAATCATATCCTGGAATGGAGATCCCTCACCGTCCATCGGGGCAGAGGCCACAAACGGCACCGCCCCCGCCACCTCCTGAGACCAACCCATTTGGGAATTATGGGTTTGGCCTCATGGGAGGTTTCATTCCCATGGCAACTGCCAGATTTGGAAACTTCACACTTTCCACTGCCTTTGGTGGTTTTATCCCGTCCCTGCTCAACATTCAGTTCCATGGCTTTCAGGATGCCACTGTTTATGGGACAACGTCTGGTTATCCCTTTGGGTTTAATGCCTTCCATGGAGGGAACTCGCGGGGTTTTTCACAGGCAACTGGTCAAGTGCAGCGGCAGGAGGACAATGTTTTGAAGAATTTGCTTTTGTTGATTGGATTTCTCGTCCTCCTCACTGTTATTTTTGTGTGGTAATGTCTTTTTGCATTGAGCTTAAATTGCTTCATTAAGGAGTTGTCGTTTTTGTAAATATTTTAGCTGACTTCAAGAGGGAATTGTATGCTTTTAGAATACTGTCTGTTTTGCTCTTTTATCAACTGTATTATAGGCACCTGCAGTGAACTTGAATGCTGCCTGTTTGGCTCTTTATCACTTACATTACTGTCTTTTAATAATATCTCCTCTATGTCACGTCATCCAATATTTGGTCTTAATATCCTTTGCTGTCAGCTCAGTCTAAGAAAATAACTGATTCTTAATGAGAAGTTGGTTGCTGCACTAGTACATTGTGCTGTTTGGCAGCACAAGTTTTGGTATGAAACTTGTCAATTTTATTTGACTCCCTTCTTAACGGCAAACGGAGGGCATGGTTTTAGAATAGTAGGAAGTTGTAGGATGTTAAAAAGACTAGATAGAGGAATGCTACTAAATTTACTTATTTTTGCCATGGTATAATTTGAATTTTCTTTGGAGACACTAAAAATCAATTGTGTGACATAACCATGTAGCTATGCTCGTAAACTAATTCCATTTGAATATCAATATTAAATAGTTGAGTCAATGCTCTATCACTTTTTCGCTCTTATACGGAGATAATCTGTTATGGATCTTAGGTAATCTCCCGAAATCCTCTACGTATGTTTTCTGATTTTTTAACATGACGGTCCAATAGAAAGGGAAATATCTGATTTTCATCATAAAAAAATGATTAAAAATTACATAATATTTGCTTACTCTGTCTCTATCTCACTGAGGATTCCAAAGGGAAAGTGGAGCTTTTAATTTTGCTTATAGTCTCCAATTTGATGGATCCCCAGAGCTCCCCAATAGAATTCCATTTCAAGTTCCGGTCAGAAAAAGAGTAGTAGCATAAGATTCTAGCTAGCAAGGTCTCATGAGTCACAAGAGAGGGTTTTGTTGGTCCCTTTGAACAAGCATGCATATGGTATATCTGAAGGCTTTAAAGTGAGTGAGAGGACCAAACAGCTAAGAAAACCAAGATCTGTCCCAATCGTTTTTCGGCTAACTTAAGTGGGTTAGTTAACACTCATGCATTAAAGTGTTCTCGCATCTTTCCCTTACAGTGTCTCTCATTATGGGGAACCAAAACAGGTGAGAGAGCTTGATTGCAAAATGCAATTGCAACAGTGATTACAACTTACAAGCCGGTCCGTTCTCATTCCCTTTTTTAGAATCCTTTTTACTGGTACATTTGTTAAAGCCTTTGCTCCTAGAAGCCTAGTGATAAAATAGGATGAATAGTGCTGATTTCACAAAAAAATATTTAAACGTTTATTAAATATAATTATAAGCCAATAAAAAGCAAGTCAGTTTAAAGGTCACTGACGTACTGTCGTGTAACCAGACGGTTTTCTTTTAATCCTAACTTAGAGGTCAAACTATAGGTGGGTCTATGCACTATGTAGATGGTATTATAAGCAAATCTTAACAATTGAATTTTCATCTCATTATTACGGGAAGCTAGAATATTATCGGTGAAATTAAGAAGCATTTAAAGGATAATAATTTATTTATAATTATGATTTATAACAAAATATTATGACATTAATTAATCTTGTTACTGTTACCTATTGGGGAAATATATGGGGGGAATGAATTACTTATCACTAGAGAGAAAATAAGTAATTTCCTCATTTAAATAATTTACTTTAGCAATCAGAGGTTATAATATAACACTGTATCATGTTGAGTACTATCGAGTTAATATAAATAAAGCTTTTAACACTGAAATGAGTATTTATGAATGAGTTTTTCAGGGATACTCTCTTGTTCTCTGTGAACTAATAAGTTAATGTTCATTCCTTCAAGGTTAAGAATTTAAAAAATGAAAATGATGATTTAAACATTGTTAGCATATATGTTTATTTCATCTTTTCAAATCTTAATAGTTTATAGTAATACAAGTACCTATTAATGTGTGTGAGAGTCTAAAAGGCTAATTCACAAGCGTAATATTTGTTAATTATTCGTATATAATGTTAATGAATAAAACTAAATTAAGATTAATTTGACTTGATTCATTAGCTCGATGATATTTGTTCATGAAATAAATGAATGACTTTGAATTGAATATTTAGTAATCAAAGAAATGAGTTGAACTTAAGTATATTTTAACTCATTTGGTCCATGAATCAGTTACACAAATAATTATGAAAAAAATGTATAAAATGTTTCAAGATTGATATGCGTGCATGTGAAAGTGAGAAAGTGATATTATATGAAAATTGTCTTAATTTGAGTCTTTCAAGGAGAGACGTAGATATCTTATATTGTACTCAACAATTGATATTTCTATATATTTTTTTACAAATATGTTATATTGTACTCGACAAATTTTTTTTTATATAGAACAGTTGTTCTTGGGGAAAATTCTTTGACAGGAAAAGAGTAGTCCTTGACCCGATTCAAAGTTCAAATTATAGTTCAAACATGCAGATTGATCAGGCCCACATTGGCAGAAACAAACAAGAAAATAAATGGCAATATCACACTTTTTTTAATCTTCTTTTATTATTATTATTTAAAATTTACTAAAAGTCACGAAATTATGTTAAAGAATTATTAAATAAAGAGAAAGATTGCCATAATTGTGTAACTCCTATAAATTCCATCTGATTTTGTAAAATATATTTAAAAGAATGTATTAAATAATGCATTACAAACTTTAACTACATATCAAGGTTCTGGTAAGAATCATTTTAAAGGTTGATGAACAAGAAGTCAACAATTGTTTATTAGAAGTGGACTCAATTTAGTCCTCATGCCTCAAAGAAATTACACTGGTCTTCCCGAAAAGTCTTTAAGGGTGCATATCACTGTACTCCTTGAAATAAATTATTCCCGTCCTTTGCCGTGTGAATTCAGTGGCGAGACGGCAGTACCCTAATATATACGTTGGGATTACAATAGAATAAATTTTACAATTTTCATCAGTTTGTAATTCAAGTTAGCGAATGAGATTTTTTGTTTTTTGTATTCAACAAGTGCGTTTAAATTTAACTAAAATTCAATAATATGAATAAAAATGCATAAAAAAAAATATTATCATTGTTCAACGATGATAAAACTGCCCATCTTATAAAAGAAGAAAGTATATACAACATTTTTTTTTTGGTCAATAATAAATAGGAAGAGATTGGTATATACAGCTTATTTCGTCAACCTAGGATATACAATTTCCTATTTGAGGTAACTAAGGTGCTACACAGAGGAAAATCCCTATGTATCCATTATTATAGACACAATTCGGCATCTGATCAATCTAATCAATTTATGTATTATTTTGAACCTGAATTTGAAACTTGAATTTAGCTCCAAATATAGGAACCTGGCTTACAGGGTTCGGATATAAAAGTCTGATCTCTAAATCTTTGAATTGGACATGGGATCCAATCCTAGACACCACGTTACCTAAATCACAGAATTTGTACATATAACTCAATTTGAAAATCTAGGCAACAAGATCTCCTATATGAGGTAACTATGGTGCTATACAAAGAGGAAATTAAATTTCTATGTACACATAAAGTTGTTTTAATTTTCTAACCCTTCTTCTATCGATACCGACTAGCTTAGCATCCAAGCACTTTGGCAGATACACTACCCCTTCTTTGCTGTTATCACCACTGCACTAGGTCATCTCCATAGAGCTGGTCCAAGTGCACCTCAAGTCCCGACATGCATTTGCATTAAGTCAAAGACAGTTGAGGAATAGAGAGCATATCATTCTAAGAGCAATTTTTTGATCCTTACTAAGTGCCACCTTAATAAATAAAATAAGTATAGTCCTTTGGAAAAGGACAAAACGCACTCCATAATGTATTGTAATGCATTAATCATTACACGACACAGCCACAAGGTATCAAGTCCAAGATTACGGCTCCGCTTACTCTGTAAATTAAAAGCAACTATTTATCATATCATAAATAGTAAGAGAAAAAAAATAAAATGCAAATACAATACTCTCTCCAAAATCTTTGGCTTCGTTCGCTCGATTATGCATATTGTGCTCCGACATACAAAAACATCCGTTAGTATCCTTTTTCTTTGGTGTAAAGGGAGAAAGAAAGAGAAAAAAAAAAAAAAAATACAAAATAAGTTTAAAAATATAAAATTCGGACAAGATATATATAACTTGAAAGTAGTTTTAATCATTTACACTTTGGTTTTGGAAAAACGTCAACCATAAAAGGTATTTGATACAAGTAGACCCACCAAACCCGATCCCAAGCCAGCCATTTGTGTCGGTGAAATGTATATAAAGCACGTGCATGATTTTTTAATATTCTTGTTAATATATCAAATAACTACATATATGCATTATATAGAGCTATATGTTGTTCTTGTATATTTAACTCAGTTTAAATTCGTTCATAAGGCATTTTGTCATAGAGTCGGTATTGCTAGCTTATGATCAAGATTCATTCGTTGCGAGAAAACATTCTGATAAACAAATATAAATGAATCCTTTAAAACCAAAATAAAATAATAAGTATGATTGCCAGACTTACCAGAAGATAAAATCAAAATTTTCTGTTCGTTTTGAAGGAGACGACAGCACTTTTCGGTTGTGCCTAAGATGTTTATAATTAAATGTCTAACAGTCAAGAAGAGGTTGGCCTTCTTCAATTTAAAATTCTCAGATGGACTAAGAAAATATTGACGATAAAATGTACTAAAACCTTGAGTACATATAAAATATAATAATAATAATTAGGAAAAAAAAAAGTTATGATGCGAATATATAATCTTCAAATCCAAAGCCTACCTAATAATTGGGAAAGGCTTTCCCATGTGTAGCACATGCTGCAGTCCTTACAAAGTTGCATCTATTGATTACAAAGGAAAACATATTTTCTGTATAATTCAAGTAGGATATCTTTTTTTGTGTTTTCAAATATTGAAATAAATTTTTTGATATATATATATATATATATATATATATATATATTACGATAAGCAATAGAAAATTATATATTATATTAAATATTATATCAATTATTTTTTATCATTCGAAGGATGGAATAGATAAAAATGCCAACAACCAATTTTACTTTACTAAAGTGAAAGTGGTATTTTAAAGAAAAACATAATTATAAATTTTATATCAATAATAAATTTTTAATAAATCATTGTCACTTCGTATTAAAATTTTTGTCATTAATGATTGCA